CAAAGGCCATTGAGGGAAACATTTGGATTTGGATTTTACGAATAAATAACTTCACTTTCTGATAAGAAAAACACACGAATGACATGGGAAACAAATCACTTTCTAAATATCAATAACGTCAAACATTGTATCATCATATAGGCCTATGCCTCCTTAGTATTACAGCCCGACCACACAGCGGCGTGCGTTGTCGCTTGCCGGCGGGCGTGTCTGAAACTCGACCAACAACCAATCACATGAATCTCCCGCCCCTGACACACAAGCAGCGGTTTGATTGGCTGGAGCTTGTACTGGCATATGATTCGATTGGCTGACGCTTCTGCCGAGGCGTCAAAAGTTGAATATTGCTCAACTTTTGCAGCGAGCCACGCCAGCAACGCTCCGCGTCGCTTCCCACAATGCAGTTCGGCAAAAAGTGACGTCACCCCATTCAAAGTGAATGGTGAAGCGTCAACGCACGCCGCTGTGTGGACGGGCCGTTACCGTATATAAAATGAAATACTCTACATTGAATAATTGGTGTTTGCTATTTTTTCCATCTACTACTTCTCCCATTCACAAATCCAAAATCAAATAAAAAAAATCTAAAATTCTAGTGTGTGTGACATATTAGTAAAATGTGCACATTTTCACTTCTTATTGCACATTTTTTAATCTCATGTTATATATTATATTTTAGCTTTAACTTCTTATGTTTATATATTTTTTTGTCTATTTTATTTCAGCATATTCCTGCTTTTACTTATGTTTGCATAACATTTTCATTTGATATCTTTTCAATATTATTCTAAAATTGAGCAGCTGTCACATAAATAAAAAGACTAAAATAAGAATTCTTATAAATTAAAGGGAAAGCAGAAGGTTTTTTTTGTCCACTTCCTATCCACAGTAACATATTTTGTATGTTATGTACGAGTGGAGAGGGACGTTGGGAATTGTAGATCATTCTCATATGATTAAAGTTTGTCCTTTGCAGGCTACTGTAGCTAGTGTGCCACCCGGTGACGTGTTTAGGCATTCAGTTGGTAGTCGGCATGCACTGTACATGCTGTGGTCCTGAATAAAGCCACCACTTGCCAATGCATTGTGTATTCCTTGTGTATACACACATGCAAGTTCTAAGAAGTAACAACAACTTCTACAGGAATTAATTAAGATTTAACTTTAATTGTTGTCTCTCCACAGCCAACATGACTCCATCTTCCTTCCTGTCCTCCATCGCCCTCTGTATGATCGCGTCTAACGCCACCCCCATCATACTGCCTCACACCGAGCCCCCGCTGATCCGAGACCACCCCTTCGTGGTTATATGGAACGCCCCGACCGACAAGTGCCAAGAACTGGAGATCCCCCTGGACACCGCGGTCTTCCAGGCAGTGACCACGCCCAACCCGGTGCCCGGCCAATTCCTCACCATCTTCTACGAGAACCGCCTCGGCCTCTACCCTAAAGTGGACATCGTCAAACGCAAGCAATACAAAGGCGGAGTCCCTCAGAACGGGAACCTGACGGAGCATCTCCTCAAGGCCAAGCGTCAAATCGATCGCTCCATTTCAGAGGATAACTCTCCAGGATTGGCGGTGATCGACTGGGAGTCCTGGCGCCCACTGTGGGACCAGAACTGGGGATCCAAAATAATCTACAAGACCCTCTCCATCAATAAAGCCATGCAGATCGCCCCGTTTTTGTCCTCCGATAAGATAGCCGAGGTAGCAAAGAAACAATTCCAACTGGCAGGGCATCGTTTCATGGAGGAAACCATCAGTTTGGGGATAATGGAGCGTCCGAGCCGCAGTTGGGGATTCTACTTGTTACCGGACTGCTTCAACTACGATTGGCAGAAGAAAGACTACACGGGGAAGTGCTCCAAGAAGGTCCAGAACCAAAACGACCAGCTGATGTGGCTGTGGAAAGCCAGCACCGCCCTCTTCCCCTCCGTCTACCTGCACCTGTCCATGAGGAACTCCCCCAAGGCCGCGCTTTTCGTCCGCAACCGTGTCCTCGAGGCTCTGAGAGTTGCCGCACTGCCGAAACGTTCCTACACCGTGCCGATCTACGTCTACTCCAGGCCTCTGTACCGCGACCAAACTGAGATCTTTCAGAGCAAGGTGAGAAGTTTAATATTCAAGATTCAAGGCTTTTATTGTCATTTGTAAATAGTTCCTGTTTTCCTCGTCTGGAAGTCTTTGGTTTTCTGAAAGGGTTTTTGGTTGTTAGACTGAAATAAGATCCGTGGTTAACAAAAGCTGAAGATATTTTTACATTTGTATTACGACATAAAATACGTCAGTAAATACCCCACTGGTGAATTTAAAAATGGCAGTTGTTAACAAGTGTCTAAATGAAACGACTAAACGTCATCACGCCCAACTTTAGCCGGCTTTAGCTTAGCGGTGGTGACGTGAAGTCATGTGACCGTGCTGTAGTTCCTTCATAGCCCAACATTAGCCACCTTTAGCTTAGCGGTGGTGACGTGAAGTCATGTGACCGTGCTGTAGTTCCTTCATAGACTAACGTTAGCCACCTTTAGCTTAGCGGTGGTGACGTGAAGTCATGTGACCGTGCTGTAGTTCCTTTATAGCCCAACATTAGCCACCTTTAGCTTAGCGGTGGTGACGTGAAGTCATGTGACCGTGCTGTAGTTCCTTTATAGCCCAACATTAGCCACCTTTAGCTTAGCGGTGGTGACTTTAAGTCATGTGACCGTGCTGTAGTTCCTTTATAGCCCAACATTAGCCACCTTTAGCTTAGCGGTGGTGACGTGAAGTCATGTGACCGTACTGTAGTTCCTTTATAGCTTAACATTAGCCACCTTTAGCTTAGCGGTGGTGACGTGAAGTCATGTGACCGTGCTGTAGTTCCTTTATAGCCCAACATTAGCC